CTCCAACAACTGAGAAACTGATCGGGTTGCAAATAAAATTCAGTCAGGGCTAGGGAGGTGGCTGAGCAGGTAAGGGAGCCTTCTGCTATGTCAAACCACCTAAGTTTAATCCTCAGGACTCACATGGGTTGTCCTCTGACTTCATATGACAACACAGCACACTCACATTAGGGCACATGTATGTTCACACAAACACACATAATAAATGTTGAAAAAGAAAGAACTATAACTTAGTGATACAGTGCTTGTATGGCATGTTCAATTCCCAACACTGAAGAAAATTTTTGAGGAGGGGCAGGGAGGGAGGGAGAAAGGGAGGTCTGATGGTGCAATCCTACAATCCCAATTCAAAGTCTGCATAAACTGAATTCAAGGCCAGCCTGAGTAATTTCATGACATTTCATTTCATTTCATGTCTCAAAAACAAAACAAGCCGAGTGGTGGTGACACACACCTTAGCCCCAGCCCTCAGGAGGCAGAGGTAAGCCAATATGTGAATTCAAGGCCAGCCTGGTCTACAGTGTTCCAGGACAGGCTCCGAAGCTACAGAGAAACCCTGTCTTGAAAAACAAAACAAACATACATGAAGCTCTGAAGTTCTAAGTTTGGCTCCCAGTACTGAAAAGGGCAAGAGAGTTCATATTATAAATAATTTTACTAGTCTCTCATTTATTTCTTTAAAGGGAACTCTAAGGTAAATGGAAAAATATACTTGCAAAAATATAAGAATTTAGGATTTCAAAGTTCTCAAGCCCTACTAAATCAAGCTGAGAATCTCCAATTTAAGAGACATAATAATACACTAATTTCACGGGCAGCTTGTATACAACTCAGCTACAAAACATAAAAGAGACTTTGACCTTTGGCCACCTCATCAAGTAGCAGCACACTGACCCAACTGGACTAATGCCACTCAGAACTGGACGAACAGGGAGATCAGAATCCGAAGGCTACCTGCACAACACCATGTACATCATCTGCTCCTTAGGTCAAATCCTAGTCAAATGTGCTCACTTGGAGAAGTTTCTAGAGTTAAGAAACATCTGTCATTACTCCCACTCCTCCCTCCAAAAAAAAAAAAAAAAAAAAAAAAAAAAAGCCTCAGAGTTTTCTGAATGTGTTTTCTAGCAGACAGTGTTCTAAGAGTTGTGGTGAAAGCAGCCCGTGGCCAGAATAGTAAATGTCTAATGATGGGAAAGGCACTAAGTGTGTAAAGACTGTCACAGATACACCCTCTTAACCAATGACTTGCTCACCTACAAATAAAGGATGGTAAAATTCTTCACAGAGTTTTTGAGGATGGAGTACAACAGAATAAAAATTCTGTATAAATGTAATCCTATTAAAGAATGCACCCGATTTGAGGTTTGAGGAAACTTATTACTTGGTCTAGTTTTCTCTCAGAGCCCAGACAGAGAGCTTCCTATCTATCCTAGCCCAGAACCACTGTCATTTGACTCCTGGCAGATTAATATCCAGCTTCTGCATGTAGCAACCAGCAAAGGACCTACTGACCAAATAGAGCCTTTGAAGGACTGGCCATTTCAATTTTATACTGTAGGCCTAACATCTTTCCTATGGGAGAGAACATTTGGTATGAATTAGCCTGTTTAACAAATTGCTGAGGCATTCAGAAAAAAATAACCTGCCACAATTTAAGAACACACCATTTACAAAGGGCTCCTACAACACAGAAGATGCGTCTTATGGTTCACAATAATTTACAGATGGACAACTTAAACTGTTTGTCCAACAGCAAGTGAAAGCTAATTACGGCAAACTTCAGAACTTCAGTGTTCCAACACAGTCAGGACTTTTTTTTTTTTTTTTTTTTTTTTTTTTGCTTAAGCTTTGCAACGAGGATTTTTATTTAGCCCAAGCATCCCATGGACGAATCACCTTTCTTAAACCTTGAAATGCTGAGGGCCACTAAATTCTTGACAGTCTTTAGAACCGACTAAGCATCTACTGAGACATATTCCTGCACTTTCATTTCCAAGCCACCAAACCCAAGTCCCGGAAGGCAGAAAGCCGGCGTTTCCCACTCCAGGTAGGGAGAAGGTAAACACCCTCACTCATCACCGGGCCGCAGAATGCCTCCTGGGCCCCAGGGAGTGCTGGATCCCTTCTCTCCCGGAGCTTCTGGGCAACTGGTTTGAGAACCCGTCTTTCTCCCCAGCTACCGCCGCGCATACGGTGCGAACCACGCTCACCGCGGGTCACGGGAGCTAAAGATAGCCCCACCGCACCTAGGAAGAGCGAGCCTTGGGCGCCGCGCGCCGCAGGGCCTGCCCTCGCCACCCTTCAGCCGCAGCCCCCGCCAAAACCTCACCAACCAGCTCTGGCCTGACAGCTCTCGGTTGCCCCCAGGGCCCTGCCGCTCAGGCCCAGACATGCAAGCGACTCGACACCCCGTCTGCCGCGGCCCACACCTACCCCGCAGCCCTGCCGCGGCGGCTCCGGCCCGGGAGCTCGCCCACCGAGGCTTGGTTCGCCTGCTCCGCGCCTGGCTGCCCGCTCTGCCCCGGCGTTCCCACAGCCGGGGCTGCGCCCACACTGGGCATGCCCGAGCTGCACGGGGCAGCTGGGAAGTCGGGCGGACACCCTGCTGGTCGCTGGGCGGGGGCGGGGCCAGCAGGCAGGGAGGGGCCACCCAGGAGGGGCGTGGCCAGGGAGCCTGGGAATTGTAGTTGGCGGGACCTGAGATTCTGTGCTCGTCCTGGTTGTACAGCTTCAGGCTTCTAGCCCCTATTGCCGCCACTCCAAACCCCTTTCTCACTGATCAGTAGTCCTGTTCCCCAGGCTCCTCAATCTGCAGCAATGCTGATCTTTCTAAAATCCTTTAAGAACAAATGATGGAAACATTAAAATAGGGGTCACCTTGATTAATTTGGAGGCTTTCTAATTAAAGACTAATAAACCAGGTATGGATTCAAACCAGGTATGGATGTAATCCCAGCCTTTCGAAAACCGAGGAGTAGAATTGTGGCGAATTCGAGGCCAGCTTGGGCTACATAGTAAGTACCAGGAAGGAAGAGCTACATAAGAAGACCCCATCTCAGAAAAACAAAACAAACAAAATAACTCAATAGAGTAATCACTTATCATGCACAAGGTCCTGTGTTCAATTCCCAGAAAGCACCAAATACACAGGACATGGTGTAGCTCAAAAAATAAGAGACCCAGGACTGATATTGGAGCTCAGGCTTCAAGCTGAAGATGGGAGAAGCAAAGCAAGCAGTCACTAGCTCTTACCTCTTCCTATGCTCAGACCAAAGGGGCTATCTTCAGACTGCTTCAGACTTCACTGCTCCTCTGATTCACTGAGACTGCTATGCTTTCCTCAATGTGGCTGGAGAATAATTGCTTCTCATGAGACCCTTTGTACCTCCCTAGTCCTGGGATTAAAGGCATGAGATCCCAAGTGCTGAGATCATCTTTATGTGAGTTGTTTTGAAAGACCCCCGAAGGGATACTTTTGTAGAGGGAGACCCACACACCCAGGAACCAGCGAGGCCACGAACTGGATGCAAAAAACAAGAGGCTTTATTGGAGACGCAGGTACCCGGGGCGACTTAGCCTTTGTGTGGCTAAGCGCCCCGAGCCAAGGGAAAGGGGTCCTTATATAGGGAAAAAGGCGCAAGCTAGGAGCAGGGATTCTATTGGATAATTCTAATGAGGCATTATACAGAGCTATTCCCATTGGTCAATGTATATGAGGCGCTATACAGGGTTATTCAAATAAGGCAAAGTACAGAGTTATTCAAATGAGGTGAAACACAGAGTCTTTCAAATAAGGCGAAATACAGAATCATTTCCATTGGATGGTTCAAATGAGACACAGAGCCATTCCAGATCAGCATATTCTCAAGGTCTGGTGTCTGGCTGGTGCTTGCCCTCGTGCCGGCCCACCAGGTGCTCGTTCTCGGGCTGGCCCACCTGGTACTCGTTCTCGGGCTGGGCGTGCGGCGGGGGGCGGGGGAAGGCCGCCGGGGGTGGGGATCAGGGAAGCCGCCTACAGGAGGAAGAGGAGACAAACTTGAGAAAGAAAGGGCTAAGGGACAGGGGTCTTTCAGTTTCTCTTTAGGACTGGATGGATTTGTGTAGCTCAGTGTGGCCTTGAACTAACAGAGATCCTTCTACCTCTTCCTCCCAGGTGGTAGAATTAAAGGTGTGTACCACCACCTCCTGGCTTCTATAGGTAACTAGTGTGACTGGCTTTGCTTTCTGTATCCTCAAGCAACCTTTAATAAATCATAAATAATATATCACCACAACATGGCAGTGCAGTCTCAGCACTTGGGAGTTGGAGGCAGGAGGATGAGAAGTTTGAGGTTATCTTTGACTACATAACAAGTTTAAGGCCAGATTTGACTACAAGAGACCTTATCTCAAAAAAAAAAATACTAAACAATGCCAGGTTTACATCAAAATTACTCAAAATATGAGCCATCAACCACTTAGGCTAAGCAGGGTGCTGGTAGCGCACGCCTTTAATCCCAGCACTTGGGAGGCAGAGGCAGGCAGATCTCTGTGAGTTCGAGGCCAGCCTGGTCTACAAGAGCTAGTTCCAGGACAGCCTCCAAAGCCACAGAGAAACCCTGCCTCAAAACAAAACAAACAAACAAAAACAAAAAAAAAAGAAAGGAAGGAAGGGAGGGAGGGAGGGAGAAAGAAAGAAAGAAAGAAAGAAAGAAAGAAAGAAAGAAGTCCCTTAAGGTGTGCCCAGCAATTTGGGCTTTCATTAATTCCATATGTAGTCAGGTTGACAATCAAGAATAGACATCATAGGATGTATATGCCTAAGAGTTAGAGCATAAAATACCCAAGTATAGCAAAACCCAAATATATATTGTGGGGCTTTTTTGTGATTTGTTTTTTGTTGTTGTGGCTTTGTTTTGTTTTTTTGTGACAAGGTTTCTCTGTGGAGCTCTGGCTGTCCTAAAACTTGCTTTGTAGACCTGTCTAGCCTTGAACTTAAAGATCTCTCTGCCTCCCCAATGCTGGGACTAAAGGAGTGTGCCACTACTGCCCAGCCCAAATTTTAAATATATATATATATATATATATATCTATTGTATACATCTACACATAGAGCCTACATACATGAAGAAGAGAGCATCAGATCTCATTATAGATAGTTGTGGTTGCTGGGAATTGAACTCATGACCTCTGGAAGGGTAGCCAGTGTTCTTAACCAATGAGCCATCTCTG